GTTCAAATGAGAGAGTTATTTCAGTCCATCACAGTGAATGTAGAAACGCAGGCGGGGGAGGGGCGGGGGTAAAATTTTTTTAAAGTATCCAGAAACCATGAGTTCTTAACCCTTTGGCTCGGTACTATGGAAATCGCAACCCTTCGGACTTGATTCCATGATAGGTATGGGAGAAATGTGGCTTTTCTTCCTACCCCCGGGCGTGAACCCGGACCACAAGGAGTTCGTCACCCGGTCACCGCGCAGTCCGATTCAGCCAACTTCACTAGAGAGCAGGGCAAATATTTTGTTAAGTTGATAATGATACTACTTTATTTATAATCAGACTGAACAAAAAATTATAAGGGATTATTACAAATACAATTGCACTTAATATCAAAACTGCTTGACGCCCCCTTAACCCTTTGCTGCTGTTGCACCACTAACTAGGTGGTGAAATTATGCACGCATGCTAGATGTGGTCGGCGTCTGTGGCTTAGGCGTTCCTCTTTAACCCTGTTATTGATTGGATACTAAAGAACACAGTAGACAAGACATCGAGAGGCATACCCTGGACTCCATTCACCATGCTTGAGGACCTTGATTTGGCAGACGATATAGCACTCCTATCACATAAACATGAACATATACAAGAAAAAATTAACAGACTTTACAGCACAGCAGAAATGGTGGGACAGAGAATGAATACAAGGAACACTAAGATCATAACAAACAGTCCAAGCCATAAACCAGTGACCATAAATAACCAACAAACCATGGGAAAGCATGAGAAGACAGTCATCTCTGAAGCCTTATGTGCCACCAGGGATAAAGAGAATTGATGATGCTGATGATGATGATGGGCCTTAAATGTGTACTAGGATGGATGTCCTGGAAAAGTAAAGAAGGCCGGCGTAATGCTGACCACATTACCCACCTAGTGCCGATCGGTCTGTAAAATATGGGTGCTCTTCCCATATGCCCGATGCACCTAAGGCGTAAAAAGGGATCTTTACTTCTACTTACTAGATGTGGTTAGGGCCGCTTTGAGAGAAAGTAAACAATAAGGAAGCGTGATAAGATCCTTTCGGTATGGTGCAACGGGAAATGACATCGGGCTCAGGCTGACACTAAAGACTCTGAGGAAAAGCAAGAAAGACATACAGTGAGACTGATACTGGTACCATGGAATCGGAGCTATTCGGTGACTGCTGAAGACAATGATCTAGCACTTATGGGTACGCTTTGATGGCGGTTCATAACTCATCTCAACTCATGTAGCCCTAAGGAAGTGAACATACTGCCATTGTATTGTGAACTGTTAGATATGGCATCTGGTAATCTTAGTTTCAGCTTCATAGCACACGGATCACCCCATAGTTTCTCCGCTTTTGTGCCAACAAAAAAAACACACATAATGTTTATCACAGTCCCTTGTGGAAAGATTGACAGACTGCTGTCTCTGCATATCTAGCATACACACGCGTTAAAAGCATACGGCAGCCATCCGAAGTGCTAACACAAACAGTCTGACATTAAAAATGCAGTTTATCGTGGATGTTAGCAGAAGTCACCAACAGATCAGCAGTTGCACAAGCGATCAATTTTAATCACATAATGGCACCACCAATATCGTGACAACAGGCATCGCGTAATTTTCTAAATCTACAATTTACACCACCACGCTGGTCACTGTCGAAAAACATTCCAAATGAAATCCGCAGCTCACAGTGTCACGCCATGCACTCAACTCAGAAGCTGGGCGACGAAACTATATCTTTTCAGTTTACAAATTGAGCAAAAATGCAACGGCCACCGTCTGGCAAAAGCAACAAAAATTGCCACGGCTCGAAACAGTGGCGGTGCCTAGCGTTCATTTTGACCGGAAGTAGTGAGGGTTTATTACCGGTCACCCTAGCGGTGCCCTCTTATGTTCCTGCATACATTTATAAATAAAGTACTTTTGTAATGCATATATGCATACATACACTAAAACATACTAGCAATAGTTGTGATCAGAATTAATAATAATTAACAATTCGCAAGCACTCACACATCAAAACTGAGAGGGAAAGGAATGTACATGTACACATAAAAAGAAAAAACTGGAAGAGATAAATAAGAGGAAGAGGGGAGAGAGAGAGAGAGAGAGAGAGAGAGAGAGAGAGAGAGAGAGAGAGATCACTTAATAACTAATTCCTCCAGAAGGAAAATGTTTATCAATGCCTCTTTACATTTGGTGTGTAGGGCATCAAAGGGTCAAGGTTTTTATCTTGATACCCTGAACATATGCCGTCTTGTAGAGAAAATGTAAGAAACAAGTCCGAACGTCGTTGATTCGTTGAATGTACTCATGTCTTTCTCCTATCCTTAAACTGTTGTGTGTTGGGCTCCTAGTGGGTCCAGAAAATAAACTAGTTCCTCTGATGGCTTAGTGGAAGGTCTTTCGACCAGTTTCATGTTACAGATGATAACCTTGTAGCTGATTGTGTGACGTCGCGCGACCTCGAATCCGCTTCATGTTACCACCGGTAATTGTCCTTAGCTGATTGTCACGGGGTAGGACCGTGTGGGATTTGAGTGGGTGCCTAGGGACTAGCGTTCTCAGTTGGGAATACTCACGGCTCCATGGATACCGCCCTTATCAGGTTGAGTCGTTAACTCCATCATTGTCGAAACAAATCTATAAGGTGTTCACTCATTTTTCTAGTCAGGATGTAGAGATGTTTGTCTACATTACTGTATTTATTTTTTTAACTGTCCTAGACTGCTCACCTGTCGATGTTTTTATTTCACAGGTAAGCTAACTGAGCTATATCAGAGGCTATATTTATTATTCTATTTCCGCACTAGTCTGGACCAGAAAGAATTAACAGTGTCAGCACAATCGGCTCCATGGAGAAGGCAGAAGGGCTTTAAATTTCTGTCATTGTGTTTGCTGCTGCTGGCGACTGAATGTTTGATTTTTAATCCCACTGTGGAATCAGCCTTTTTTGTCTTAGCTTGTCAGATTCTCCGTTTTAATTGTTTGCAGGATAGCCAGTTTGCATTGGGTGTCGGTGATACATTTCTGCGCAAAGATACGTCCATTTGAACGCCATACCTGTTATTTCTGTACAGTATACAATTGCTTGTTCAGCTCTTTATTTTTATAAGAAACCGACAATTGGGCATCTCTTAGGTAAATATGGCATATCTTTGGCCACTGGAAACAAGGCTAAATAGTGTGTTCCTTTCCTCGTTACAAGACAATTCCCATACATTGCTTATAATTATGTATTAGCTTCTTGACTTGGAAAATGAAATGGTTTGGTCATATTCTCCCAGCCTCTAGGAAATGGGTACCAGAGTTGACACTCTGGGGTAACTTGAGTAACGTCGCTGTAGCTACAGAGTTACGTGCGAACGGCGACACAGGTGGACAATTCTTATCGGCTGTTCGTACTGGTGGCAGAGCACTTATGGTTTTATGGTTTATAACCGTGTGCAATGACGCTGGTTCACATCTCCCGACTGTATCTTTACCTTTTATATCAAGATCCACGGCGGATAAACAACAACCCCCACCCCCCCCCTCCCCAACACCGCCTCCCAATATATATATATATTAGCAGAAAGTATGGTAGCAGGAAAGAGAGGCAGCACAAAGATCGGCCCATGATGTAAGTGAGACCTTGGGAAGGAAAGTGGACCAGGCGTGAAAGCTGGTGAGAGACCGTGTTTCTTTCAAGCAAATCTTTATACCGACATTAGGCTATCAATGTCAGACTTGGACATTAACAAAAGAACACGAGAGAAGACTAACCACCTGTGAAATGAGATGTTTGAGAATGGCTGCGAATAAAACCAGAAGAGATCAGGTGAGAAACGATGTGATTACAAGAACTATTGGAACCATACCCATCGTTAAATGTATTGAGAGGCAAAGAATGAAATGGTTTGGTCACCTAATGAGAATGGAACCAACGATGCCAGCATCAAGAGCATACAACATGAAAATCGAAACACCAAGAGGCAGGGGAAGACCAAGAAGATATGGATTGAAGGAGTCACGGACAACTTGAGACTTCATAACATCACGGCATATGAAGCGACTGAGCGCGCCCTGGCTCGGTTGCCGATCATCTGATAGACTGCGACGCCTAGCGGCACAAGCAGATTTTGACAAAAGAAAGAAAAGTAGAGAACAAGCCGTTTAGTTAAAAATGGCAATCTGCTGAACGTAAATTTGTTTGCCTAGAAAAACCACAACAGTCGGAAATGTTCTTGCAACGTCATGCAAAAGACACGCAACTAACCTTAGTAGATAAAAACTTCTTCTTTTCTTTCTTCCTGCCTATAGTCTCTATATGAAGATCATAGGCCTCTATGAAGTCTTCCACAGTTCCATACAACTTGGTTTCTATTGTAACTGTTTCGCACCTTTCCGTCTTCCAGACGATAGTGTTACCATGCGCTATGAGGAGAGATGGGACCCACAGCCCATGGCGTTGGCAAGTGTAACCAACAAGACCCGCATGCGTTCAGAAAAGTGCTCCACAATTATCCTCAATTTTAATTGTAATACGAACCTGGAATCTTTCTATTGCATGCATAGAGCATGTCTTTACCACATGTTCAATACTCTGCAGTGCCTGTGTAGGTAAGAACTGTAGCATTATAAATTTAGACTGTTCGGGGGCCTCCATTAAGTTCATAAACGGCCGCAAAGGACCAGCAGGCCGCATATTTGACATGCCTTTTCTTCACATTCACCATTAAAACGGAAATGTAAACACCGGATATTGCAAACTATGTTCTCTCTCTTGTCCCAAGCTTCGCGGTCGGCTTGCCTGTTGTGTAGACACGCCCACAATCATTGTGAACTCGCTTGTCCTATATGTCGAGCGAACTCTACAGTGGAAGTGACTTAGGTCTTCGAAAACCTGCGGTCTCAATAGCGATTTATGTGTCTTCACATTTGTCAAAGGACTCCATGAAGCAATCTCAAAACTTCCTTCTCTTCCCGTGGATTCATAATTATGTTATTCTTTAGACCGTAAGTTGTTCGAATTTAGTGCTATAGTATTTTAATCTCAATTGCTTTGTTAGTTGACCAAATTTCCCTGTCCGTGTTTGATTCTTTTGATCGTAAAAGTATATCTGTAAATGTGTTAGCAGTAAAAAAAAGTAAAATATCATTTTGGTAAGGCTGAGTAGATCCTAAGGCAGTACGGGTTTAAAAAAAAAAAAATATATATATATAGCTTAACTAGCACCACTGTCTAACATGCAACAGCACTATTTACTAATCCACCACGGTTCTTCTAGCACAAGGTGCCTCATAACGCAGTGGATACTTTGGAAAAACAGCTAAATTCTAACGTACAACACAGCCCAACGTACAACATAATCCAACATACTGTGCAGTCAAACGTAAAGCACAGTCAAACGTAAAGCACAGCCTAAAGTACATCATAGCCCAGTGTACAACGTAGCCCAACGTACAAAATACCCTAAGGTACAACAAAGCCAAATTGTACAACATAGCCCAGTACAACATAACCCAGCGTACAGAACAACCCAACGGTCGGCACAGTGAAATGTAAAACATAGCCAACAATGTCCAACATACAACGTAGCCCAACGTACACTAAAACCTAGTGTATATAATAACGCAACGCACAGCACAGTCAAACGTACAGCATAGCTCAATGTATAACATGGCCCAACGTAACACATAGCCCAACGTGCAACATAGCCCAGCTTACAGTACAACACCTTGTACAGCAAATTGAAACGTACAACACAGACCAAGGTATACCATAGTCTAAATGTACAACATCGCCCAAAGTACAGCGTAGCGTAACATAAACACAGCCCAAAGTGCAACACAGCCAAAAGTAACAACATAGCCCAACAAATTTAGCCAAAAATAAGCATAGCCCAACGTGCAACATAGTCAAACGTACAGCGAAGTCCAAGGTAGTGTAAAACCTAACGTACAGCACTGTTTCAAACGTACAACAAAGCATATTGTACAACAAAGCCCAACATACAGCTGAGTGTGACATACAACATAGCCAAGTGTATAACGGAGCTTACGTACAGCATAGCCCCGGGTACAACATAGTTCAGTCTACAACGTAGCCCAAGTATAGCACAGCCCATTGTACAACAGAGCCCAAGTACAGCATAGCTCTGTGTACAACGTAGCCCACGTAAGCAAAGCCTAGTGTATAAGGTAGCCCAAGTACCGCACAGCCCATTGTATAACGTAGCCGAAGTACAGCACACCCCATTGTATAACGTAGCTCAAGTACAGCACAGCCCAGTGTATAACGTAGACCATGGACAGCACAGCCCATTGTACAGCGTAGCCCACGTACAGCACAGCCCAGTATATAACAAACACCAGCGTTAGACCACCGTTGATGGACCAGCGTAGCGCACAGATCAGCTTACCATGCAGAGGAAATTATTTTCATAGCCTCACGTACAGCCTAGCCTAATCACAACCAAAACCTACGGATACGCGTTGATGAATCCAAAATAACAGTATAACTAAAATATCATTTCACTGGAACCCACCTGAATAATTAAAAAAATTAAAGGAGGGAAATTGAAAAAAAAAAAAATTTGAAAAAAAAAAAAAAATGGATTACGAAGATCGTTAGAGTCACAGGTGAAAACGATGTCGAGAAATTTGCATGAGAAAGCAAAAAATAAGAATACTTAGTGCGAGCTGAGTAGAGGACTTTGATCCATTAAGTCATGAAAAGCAGAAACAGAATAAGGAAGAAGAAGGAGAAGCAGAAGAGAAGAAGAAGAAGAAGAAGAAGAAGAAGAAGAAGAAGAAGAAGAAGAAGAAGAAGAAGAAGAAGAAGAAGAAGAAGAAGAAGAAGAAGAAGAAGAAGAAGAAGAAGAAGAAGAAGAAGAAGAAGAAGAAGGAAGAAGAAGAAGAAGAAGAAGAAGAAGAAGAAGAAGGAAGAAGAAGAAGACGAAGAGGAAGACGACGACGACAAAGAAGAAGAAGAAAAAGGAGGAGGAGGAGGAGGAGTAAAACATACAATAAGAAGAAAAGAGCAAACAGGAAATGCTAAAGAAGGTGTAGTAGTAGTAGTAGCAGCAGCAGCACCAGAAGCTGTAAAAGTAACAGAAATAAGAGATAAACATTATAGGGATATACGACAGGTCTTCTTCACTTTTCAAGGTGGCTCTTTCCCACCCATTTATAAAACTTGGAAATCCCAGAAAGGAAAAGCAAAAATCAAGCAACCTACCATTATAGTACTGAACCCATGCCAGCTTGGGTTTTAGTGCACATACTAATCAGTGTATCACCATAGTTCAAAAAATGACAAAAAGTACCCAGAGTTCACCCACCAAAGCGTGAGGATACTAGTACTACCGCATGAACTGATAAGATAACCTCTACATTTGACCTAACGCTAATATTTGAAGGGGAGCCCTAGCTGTATTGACACTCTATGTTGTACAAACAGTAACCGAATTGGGTTGGGCCAACTTGTTTAATTTCATAAAAAAAAAATTAATATGTATTAATCCACTACATCTGTATTTTCACACACATAACCCCCCCCCCCCACCCCATTCCCCTTCTTCCCAGCTGGTGCAAAGCAGTATCAACATACTTTTAAGGTTACGTTCTCTTTTTGTTCACTGTTACTTCTTTAGAAAATGACCTCTGATCTCAGGTCAACCCAGCCCTGAGTGTCTACCAGTTGAGGTCATTTTAGTAAAGGCCGCCGGCGTGATGCTGACTACATCACTCATTACGTGCAGATTAGTCTCTAAAATCTAGGTCTAGCCCTATATGCCCAATACGCTCATGGCATGGAAAAGGGTCCTTTGCCGTTTACTTTAATTTTACTGTTATAAACACTTTATTATGGGTTCAGGCACAGCCCCAAATACTTTTCAAACCGGCAAAGAAGTCGTCTACCGGCTAGCTAGTGGGTGACCCGGTCGCTGATGAAAAGGATGTGTCCTGTGTGTCGCGACAGATACGTGTGTCAGCTGCAGTGTCAAAGTGTGTCGCGCCAAAGTAATTTATGCATGTGCCCGTTTCCTTTATAAGCGGTCACATAAACATTTAGTTTTAACATAAATCTGTCTATCATCACCATCATAAAAAGTTTGAGGCAGTTATTATTTTAATTATGTTCCCTATGTGCGCTTTGGGACCGCATTGCGGTGGAAAACAAGAACAGACCCACTGTCTCCCTAACAAGCACGTCGCTGGAGTCGACTGATTGGGGGCTTTCTTTGTAGTCGGAGCAAACATACTTATATAGGTTAGTTGCGTATCCTTTACAGGACGTCTCAGAACCAACCCCAAACAGCCCCTGGCGTTTGTGTGGTTTTTCTAGGCAAATTTTACGCCCAGTAGTTTGCCATTGCTTTCTGGACGGTCTGCTTTCTTGATACCACTGTCGAAACCAACGCAAGGCGAATGGTCCGCAGCTGGAATCGGCATACAGGCATTACGAAGCGTTCGCATCGACTTAGCCACAGAGCCGACACAAATGTATATATGTTTGTATATATCTTAGCCTCTTTTGCTCTATTTTCTAAAATTTCCTACCCTTTTTATATATATATATATATATATATATATATATATATATATGTGTGTGTGTGTGTGTGTGTGTGTATGTCTGTGAGAGCGAAAGTGTGTGTGTGTGTATGTGTGTGTGTGTGTGTGTGTGTGTGTGGGAGATAGTCAAAATATTACGCAGAGTGACACATAAACACACAGACAAAATATAAGTAAAAGTAAAGTTTCTTTTGTCACGCCTTAGGCACATCGGGCATATGGAAAGAGCGTTCCATATTTTGACAGACCAATTGGCACTGCGTGGGTAATGTGGTCAGCATTACGCCGGCCGTCTTTACTTCCTAAGGATAGCCATCCTGGTACCCATTTTAGGCTGGGTCTACCTGCGACGAATTATACCATGATAAAAATCCACACAACCAGCAGTGGGTTTCGATCGCGGTACGTGGGAATTACGAGTCGGACTCGAAACGCCTAAGCCACGGACGCCGCAAGACAACATATACGTTGGCATAAATGCATACAAACAACACATACACACTGAGGGACTGCAGACTTCCAAAACCAACTCATTACACCAGTACGTCTATCTAAACTTACTTCCAAGCAGAGATAATCTTCAGGAGTCAGTTACTATTATGTGATTTTGCCAGAAACACAAAAGGCACGTTAACAATACATTTTTATTCTGAGCCAATCTTTTCTCCAAAAGCATCAAAATCCACCCCTGTATTTCTTTCTGCGCATTTGTAGAGTATAATACTTACGTGTCACATTACTTGTCACGGAAAAGAGTATCTTAACGACTGTTAATTAATACTGTAGAGCAGTAGTTCCCAAATGTTTGTGGTGGGACTCCGAGAGGTTTGCGGAACAAATGCAAAGTATGTGAAGTAAAGTTCCCTTTTCACGCCTTTCGGCGCATCGGGCATATGGGCAGAGCGTCCCATATTTTTACAGACCATCAGCACTCTGTGGGTATTGTGGTCAGCATTACGCCGGCTGTCTTTACTTTCCCAGGACAGCCCATCCTGGTACCCATTTTAGGCTGGGTCGACCTGCGACGTCCCATACCACGACAAAAATCCACGCAGCCTGCAGTGGGTTTCGATCGCGGTATGCTGGCTTACGAGTCGGACTCGCAACGCCTTAGCCACGGACGCCGCTAAATGCAAAGGGTCACTTATAAAATAATGTTGTTTTAAACAAGTGTAATTTTCTTCATATAGAGCTTTTAGGAGTTTTAAAAACATACGTAGTACCTGTCCTGCTCATCCTTTTGAACGAAGTTTTTCGCCAGGGACACATATATGTATCATTTATTTAGTACATTTAAGTCCTATGTAGTCACTTCATAGTTAGGGCATATATGTGTATGTGTGCTGTGTTGTTCTTCGTGTGCTGATGAAGGCACAATCGCCGGAAAAGTTCTATGTTTGTTCATTGTGATCGATTTTTTGTTCTGTCTTACCCCCTTTTGTTCTCTTCCCTATTATTTCCTACACTTTGAAAACTGATTTGATTCTGTAGACACGTTCTTTATTATTTCTTTTACTAAAAACATTTCTTTCATCCATTTATTCAAAATAGGTATAAACTTTGAGTTTTCTGAGATTAGCTGATGTAATTTTAAACAGTAGGGGCCTCAGGGATTTATCTAACATAAGGCGTCATCAAGTCTCAATGCGACCCTCCAGGGATACCTTACTTCAACTGTCATGTTCATATAAAAGTTTAAATTTACATTAGGATCAGAATACTACGATGGTTTCATTTTCCCTCTTCAAAAAGACATCACTGAATCCTTACATTGAATCCCAGGTCCCCGGGGATGTGCAGACCACCATACAGAAATCAATGCTGTAGAGGAGCGGTTCTCAGCCTGTGGGTCGCCACTCTTTTTGGGTCGATCCACTGATTCACAGGTGTCGCCTAAGACCATCGGAAAACACATTTTCACCAAGCTTATAAAGTAGCTACCAAAAAAATGTTTGTGAGTCGCCCCAACACGAGGAACTGTATTAAAGGGTTGCTACAACATGAGGAACTGTGTTAAAGGTTCGCGGCATTAGGAAGGTTGAGAACCACTGTTGCAGAGCTTCCTAATTATCAGCCTGCGAGATTTCTAGTCCGCCCCCCACCAGCCTATCAGCTTTTACATTTCTTCTTGACACACGCACGCCCTGTCACAAAAGTGGTCGACAAGAGTCACAAACTATACATCTGTGTAAGGAGTCAAAAGAAAGCTAAACACTGAGATCAGGACAAAAAAAAGTATGTGACCCTATATTAAATCTGAAACTGGTGTTTTCTATAATATCATAAATGGAGTGACTTGATATGTTTAAATATTTCAGTTTGTGGGACCAACACCACATAGTAAGGTACAAAAGTGAAGTAAAAGTAAAGGACCCTTTTCACGCCTTTATGCGCATCGGGCATATGGGAAGAGTACCCATGTTTTTACAGACAAATCGGCACTAAGTGGGTAATGTGCTCGGCATTACGCCGGCCGTCTTTGCTTCCCCAGGACAGCTATCCTGGTACCCATTTTAGGCTTGGTCGACATGCCACGCTCTATACCACGATAAAAATCCACACAGCCAGCAGTGGGTTTCGATCTCGGTATGTAGGAATTACGAGAACGACTCGCAACGCCTGAGCCACGAACGCCGCTCACCACCACATGGATTGGCACAAAGAAGACTTTGGCATACATTGTATTTTATTTAGTAAAATGTTTTTTCCATATAACAAATGTATTCTCTATAACAATGGCTCTCAGCCTTCCTAAGGCTGGGACCCTTTAATGCTGTTCTTCAGGCTGTGGCGACCAACAACTATACATTTATTGTTGTTGCTTCTTCATAACTTTAATGAATGTGTGTTTTGTCAAGGTCTTTGGCGACCTCTGTAAAAGGGTCGTTCGATCCAATAAAGGGTTGCGACCCACATGTTGAGAACGGCTGCTCTAGAGCTATTTACCCAACTATCCAACTTTCACTGTTGACCATGTCTGTCCACTCTTTTCGATCACATGAGTCTAATACTAAAAGAAGTTGAAGGTTTGCCAGTGTTAAATGATGAATCTTTATCCAACTTGATCAACAGGCTGCGGGTGTGTTGGAAGCACCCGTGTGGTCGTGTGCTAATGCTGGTATTTGGGTTGTCCATGCTCGCCATGGTGATACTTCCACAGATGGTTACAAGTAATCATCTCGTCAGAGTCATGTCTGTCGTATACCATAATGATGAGCCCGAGAAGTAAGTGTCTCCTCTTCTTCCTCCCATCATTCTTGTTGTTGTTGTTGTTGTTGTTGTTGTTGTTGTTGTTGTGGTTGTTGTTGTTGTTGTTGTTGTTGTTGTTGTTGTTTTGTTGTTGTTGTTGTTGTTCTTCTTCTTCTTCTTCTTCTTCTTCTTCTTCTTCTTCTTCTTCTTCTTCTTTTTCTTTTTCTTCTTCTTCTTCTTCTTTTTCTTCTTCTTCTTCTTCTTCTTCTTCTTCTTCTTCTTCTTCTTCTTCTTGTTCTGGTTCTTCTTCTTCTTTTTCTTCTTCTTCTTCTTCTTCTTCTTCTTCTTCTTCTTCTTCTTCTTCTTCTTCTTCTTCTTCTTCTTCTTCTTCTTCTTCTTCTTCTTCTTCTTCTTCTTTCTTCTTCTTCTTCTTCTTCTTCTTCTTCTTCTTCTTCTTCTTTTCTTTTTCTTCTTTTTCTTCTTCTTCTTCTTCTCTTCTTCTTCTTCTTCTTCTTCTTCTTCTTCTTTCTTCTTCTTCTTCTTCTTCTTCTTCTTCTTCTTCTTCTTCTTCTTCTTCTTCTTCTTCTTCTTCTTCTTCTTCTTCTTCTTCTTCTTCTTCTTCTTCTTCTTCTTCTTCTTCTTCTTCTTCTTCTTCTTCTTCTTCTTCTTCTTCTTCTTCTTCTTCTTCTTCTTCTTCTTCGTCTTCATCTTCTATCATAGGGGTTAAAATAGCATTATTAAGGGACTTATTGTAGCGAATTAATATAAACATTTTGGGATCTTACATCTATTTTTTTTCTGTGGCAAATTATGGATGTGAGTCATGGTCTGTGACTCAGTCATTAAAGAAAAAGAAAAAAAAAACCCGTTCAATGCCACTGACCAAAAAGAAAACAACGTTGACATTCCACATGATCTGAGCATCAAGGATAATTGGCTCATAAACAGCATATAGTTGCGAAAGATGATGTATTTTAGAACATGCTTATTGATGATGATAAATAGACTGAAGGAGTAACAGCAGCTTTTGGAAAAGCATAGTTACTACAACCGCTAGACACAGAATAACGCGGTTAGGTGGAAAAATATCAACAAGAAGTAACCAGTAAACACAAGTGTTATTAATTAGTACTAAGTGAAGTTAGATACTATATATTTTAGTGCCAAAGCGGTAGTCTAGTTACCGCATATAAGGGGAACGCTGCAGAGCTTCGTTCTACTACCTGTACAATGTTGTAGTTTTGCTTTTCATTTATGTGGGTTTTATGTGTGTGTGTGTGTGTGTGTGTGTGTGTGTGTGTGTGTGTGTGTGTGTGTGTGTGTGTGTGTGGCTTTGTTGTGTTAAAATGTAAATGCTAGGTCAGGTAAGCTTCAGTTGATTGGTTTTTGTTAAAAGGATATATTGATTTGTGTGTATTTCTGGGTGTATATTTATGTATGTTTTATGTATAATAGGTGGTTGATTTTGTGTATGGGTGGCTTGGCATATATGTGTGTATATGCGAGTGTGTATTGTTTGTGTGTGTGCATCTGTGTATGTCTCTGTGCGTGTTTGAGTGCGTGTGCTCGCGTTTGTGTGGGTGTGTTTGCGTGTAGGTCTGTGTGCGTGTTTGTGTGGGTGTGTTTTTCACCAATTAACAGCTAGCTTTTTTAAGGATAGTCTGGTGTTAGCAGCCCAGTAATTGCTGCTCCAGTATCATTCCTTAGATGCTGACGAGGCAGCTTCTGCAACGTGCTTTGTTCTAAATGTATTATGTTACCTTTTCTTTGGAGTAAACAAAGCAGGTCTAGCGAGAGATCATTATGCATGGGCAATACACGGTTTCTACAAAACTGCCCAACGCTTTATGCTGTGAAACAAAACGAAAATAACACTTTCGTCTGAGATGGAAAGGTGCCTATCAATTGATCACTAAATCAATCAATGAATCAAGGATAGTTTTAAAACGACTTGTAGTATCGCAGCTGTTTGTTACTTTAATAAATATAGTTGGTCATGGTTGACCAGGTTACAAGAATGCCTACCTGTTCAGTAGCTTGCCACTGAGACGTCCACAATCACCCGCAACTAATCCTAATACTAAAGCTTTCATTTTAAATCGGCCCCAGCTGGTTTCACGCCAACCTTAGTCAATGACGAAGCAAGGTCAGGTTGTACCCGGTGTGGACAATTTCCTGCCTCCTCCCCCCCCCCCCTTTTCCCAAATGATGACACCTCTGGTACCCGCACCCCTTCTTGCGTAACGGACTCTAGTATGTCAAAATTATGAACTTTTGCAAACCTTAAGGTTAAAGTCGAGACGATCGAATTCACTGCACAGGATTTTATCCCATATGGCTCGGTCTCACCCCCCAGAAAGGCTAGCGCCTGTTGAGAACATCGCACTAAAACGAACTCCGTAGCTCCGGCGACATCCACAGAGATCTCCGTAAAAATTGCACAGGTGAACTGAACGGCGCCGCCATGAAACGAACCCACGACTTCAGAGAGTGAGGCAAACGGCTTGATGCCGTATTTCATGGATTCAAAAACATACCTAAGCCACAAACACTGTAAGTATTGATCAGTGTGTGTAAACGGCACGAGATTTACCACGGTTGAAATGAACTGCTACAGGAAGACAGAGGAAGATGGGTTTTATGTGCTGGTGCTTTCATCAATACACCTCCACGACCCTGATGGGTCAAGGGTTACGTTATGCACAGTGGAAGAGATAGATTAGTCGATAAGTTTGGGTCGTTACCTAAAGGTTTAATATGCTGTCCTGAGATTTCTTCTTCTTCTTCGCGTTCACCGGCTGTAAACTCTGGTGAAAAGTTATGGATGTTCGTCCACTTCTGGTCAGCAGTCCTGTTCCAGAACCTGTGTTGGGTGTGCATCCGTTTGACAGATCTAATTTGTTTGAAGACTGTGGATTCCTTGCCTGTCAGGCAGATGCACTCCGACTTGGAATGTCGCTCCCAATTAGTCGACTCCTACGACATGCTTCTAGGTCGGCAGTGGGTCTCTTCTTATTTTCCCTATAATAGGGCACCGGAACCCACACGGGCAGTCCTGCGATTTAAAAAATCTAAATCTGGACGGTAAACATAAAAAAGGTATTTCCTAGATACCCTGTTCAACTTCGAAAGAATTTATAATAAGGGCACTGGTAACGGCAATAGAAAGCACTACAGCAAACTTCCGTTGTAGAGACGGCGTATTAAACATGATGGAGTTACTAATTTAGTTTAAACGGCACCAGTTGCTGGGGTACACACTCAGTCAGTTAATCAATCAATTAGGTGTTGCTACCACACGAAGGTTGGCTGTAATAGATCTCTAGTGCATCCTGTCCCTTGTCTTGGTTGTCTACCCTCTCAGACTGATGCTGCTCGTAATGGAATGTCGTGCCTCCTCCCCATTGTATCTTTGTCTAGCTATTGCTCTCTTGCCTTCTACTTCTCCCTATAGTTTAGTTTGTAAAAAGTCTTTTTTTAATGTGGCCGAAATATTTCAATTTTTTAAATTTCATTTTAATTTCCTTATTGTTTTTTTTTTCCAACCCTTTTCACCCTTTGTTTTTGAATCCATGAAAAACATGTTCGTCTGTATACAGTGTATTCGAGAAGAACAGATGTGAAAAAACAATCTGTAATAAATGCGCAGCCCTAGAAACACGACACACCCGCGAAGTGTTCTGAACACTCAGACAACGCAACTGTCTATGGCAAGCAGAGCGATGGAGATATGGGAGAGGACTCCGTTAAAGGCAAAGCGAAGGGCAAAGAAAGAAGGTCTTGTACAAGTTAGGGTACGTTTGCTTTAGAGACAAGGAACCAGCAGTCTGCATACAAATACACCAGATCTGTATCAAGTTCTTGAACAAGACCAAAGTCTAAGAGCGACAAACAATCAGAACTTTCCTCAAGAGTTTACAGACGGTGAATGTTAAGAAAAAGAAAAAAAAAAAAAAAAAAGAAAACGAAGAATAAGAAAAAGAAGAAGAGGAAAGATGAAGGAAGATAGAAGAAGAAGAGGAAAAAATTAAAGAAGAAAGAAATTAAAATAAAAGAAGAAAAAAGAAAGAAGGAAGGAAGAAGAAACCAGAAAGCAAAAAACAGGTAGAAGAAAGAGGAAGAAGGAGAAGGAAGAGGAGGGAAAGAAGAAGAAGAAGAAGAAGAAGAAGAAGAAGAAGAAGAAGAAGAAGAAGAAAAGATAATGATGACGACGACGACGAAGATGATTATGATAAATAAGAAAGAAGAAGGAAGAAGAAAGCAAGACAAAAATTAATTAAGGGGCTACGGCCTCCGTGGCCTGTCCCAGTGCCCACGGGGGTGGGGTGAGGGGGGTGAGGGGTGGGGGGCATAGCGCCTACTTTAAGGAACAATGCACTAGAGACATTGACAGATACAGTGGTGGTCTTACTTCTTTTGTCGTCTCAGTAATACCAGGTTCTACCCCAGTGTCGTGGTTTTCTGTATTTGTCTTGTGTTTCTTGGGTGGCTTGAGTGATGAATTTTATTCATTTTTTTTTTGCAGGTTTCAGCGACACCATTCATCCATCTCTTTCTTGGTCTTCCTCTCACCTTCCTCCCAGATGTTATACTGTAAATAGTTGTATATGCAGTCACTAGATGGCTAAACTATTTCATTCTTTGGCTGTCAATATAATCCAGACATGTTCTTTTTCCAACTTTCTTTCCAATGCTGGTATTTGTAACCTGTCTCGACTCCTGTTATTAGTGACCTTGCGGACACGGCGCATTTCACATGTAGTCTTTGGCACTGATAACATAAACTAGGGATAAAGATGCTGTTAATCATTTGCAGTTTAGATGGAAGGGAGACATTCTGGTGTCCAAGCTGTAGAGCTAACTGGTAGGTGAGAGCATTTGCTTTCTGTTTTCTGGCTTCTATCTCTCTGTCGAGTCTGCCATCCTCCGTAAATATGCTTCCAAGATATTTGAATTCTCGTACTACGATTAGACTGATAAAATGGTTCAAAGCTTGAATAATAGGAATACATAAGAAATGGTAAAAGAAAAGAAAAGAATAGTGCCTAAATTGTTATTTAGGACAAGTCCTAAAACTTAAGTATCTAGGTACAATGACAACATCCGACAGAAGAAGTATCAGCGAGTTAAGGAACACGTGCGTGTGTGTACGCTCTCGTGCAGGCGGGTCCATGACAGCGGCCGAATCAAATTAGTTAGTTAGTCTTTCCTCTTGTGTCGAGTGCGGCACATAGGGCAGAGGTCATGACTCTCCATGCATGGCGGTTCGTTGCAATCCGTTGTAGAACTTGGATGTTTGAGTGGCCCATGAGCGAGCCTTCCCTGATGATAGTTCTACGTAGGGTTTCCCTTGGTCTTCCACGAGATCTTTTCCCCTGTGGTGTCCAAATGAGGGCTTGGTAAGGAAGTCTTGATTTATCCATTCTAAGGGCGTGGCCGACATAGTTCCAGCGGCGTTTTCGTATAAAATTAGACACATACTCTTGCCTGGATTCTTGCCTTATTTGTGTATTTGTTCGGAAATCTGACCATTTGAAATTTAGTATTCTTCTAAGGCATTTATTTTCAAAACTGTCTAATTTTGTATCTAGAGTTTTCGTTGATTTCCAGCTCTCGCATCCATAGGTTAGTACTGGAATCACACAAGAATTGAAGATCTTGAGTTTTGTGTGTTTGCTAAGTGTCTTTGATTTCCAGATGTTAGACAGTTTATTGAAGGCATCTTGCTCCCCAGATAAATGAAACTGTTGACTTTTTCAAGGCTGTTGTTGTTCAGCGTGATATCAACTGAACTGTTGGTAAAGTCTAGAATTTTTGTTTTTGCGGTGTTAATTTGGAGTCCAATTTGTTCTGAGAATTTCTGGAGTCGATTGATTTTTTCTTGGGCGTCTGTGTGTTCTGAACTCAGGAGTGAACTCAGGAATCAAATAAGTCAGTATAAAAAAGGGACTAAATTCAATAACGTGATGAATCCTCTTATGCTAACAAAATAAATCCTCCATTATAATCTTTATTAAATCCTTAGTTACTAATGTTATTTTAAATTCTCCGTTAACAACTTTTATAACATACTCAGTGTCGGGTCAGTTAACTCCTCAAATTCTACTTTGACTGACAGACGTTCAACTTCACCAGGTCCGCACAATGACCGATAAACACGTGGGGACACAAAGTGCCACCATTCAAATAAGAATCACCAAGACATAAGTCATACAAACCCCTTTTAACCTTTAGGTTTTATTAAGGTCCCCTAGGACAGCCAAGGTGATAATTTCAAATTAAAAAAAAAAGTGCGTCTCATATTTGGGCGGAAATTGACAAATACTACCGTCCTGACAGTGAGGCAGAATATTGTTGCTGTGTCGCTAATATAATAAGTGACGCGAAAAATAAGAATGCTTTTTTTCAGCATAAAAATAAGGGTGTGTTGTACGAGCTTGTTAATATTGTAAGAACGGAAGCACACACGTCATTTCACACTCCCTGCTGCTTTCAATTAAATACAAGTTAATAGAAATTAAATTACAGCTTTGCTTTCGTCCCCTGTGGTGATAATACTCGTTTTCTGTTTCACAATTTCATTTTTTTCGGGAACAGGCAAACAGTATCATAGGTGGCGTTGCAGAACCAACTGCAGCACTCTTTGGCTGTTAGGGGTTTTCTAGGCAAATTTACGACCAGTGGTTTGCCATTGCTCTGGACGGTCGGCTTCTCGATATAACTGTGGAAAGCAAAGCAAGACGCAAGGCCCGCAGTTGGGATCGAACCCGGCACACCGGCGTTACGAAGCTTGTTCGCAATGCCTAAGCCACAGACGCTGACATCATAGGCGGAAAAAAGTAAAAACTGAATGTTCGTACAGAAAAAAATCAAATTTGTAAAATGATGTGAGTCATAGTATGGCTCTAGCACCATATGTATGATACGTATGTGGTATGAGAAAAGCTGTATCATATAAGCGTTTTTTATAAGCTTTTATTGAGTTTCCTTTTGCTAGTTTGATTGACTGGGCAAAATTTTTTGATCAATGTGTTTACTATTTCCAGTTAAGCTGTCAAGCTGGAATTGCGCACGCACACACACGAACACACAGACACACACACACACAAACAGCTTTGTGGACTACAATGCAATGTAGTGCTAATAAAATTCCATCAATATTTCTATTTAGTGATAATTTTAGATGTCAACAATGTATACACTGATAAAGGAAGTAATTAACAAAAAATGTATATAGCACGCAAAAATTCTTTTTCTAACCCTGAATGACAAAAATATATTGCATAAGATGCTCTTCATTTTATATGTTTTCTTGTCCTATTCTGAGTCCGAGTTCGTGAGCTGCACCGACATTACATTTAAAGTGTTTCAAAAGAAATTACATCTAAGATTTCTGGAAAGAATTTGCATCAAAGATGTATACAACAACAAAAATTACATCTACTATGTCTTATAAGAAATTACATCCAATATGTCTTAAACATAAAATCTAAGGCGTCTTAAAAGAAAAAAACATATAAGGTGTATAAAAAGAAATTACATCTAAGATGACTTAAAAGAAAATACATCTAAAAACCATATGAGTCCTGTCGAATCATGTTCCGAATGGAATCCGCCGCCCACAGTGTCGCGCCATGCACTAACACCCGTAGCTAGACGCCTGAGTAATATCTTTTTAGTCTAACTAAAGTAAAGAGTAAAGTAAAGATCCCTTTTCACGCCTTTCGGCGCATCGGGCATATGGGCAGAGCGTCCCATATTTTTACAGACCATCAGCACTCTGTGGGTAATGTGGTCAGCATTACGCCGGCTGTCTTTACTTTCCCAGGACAGCCCATCCTGGTACCCATTTTAGGCTGGGTCGACCTGTGACGTCCCATACCAACTGTCTGGAACTGAGCTCGATGGAAGTTAAAGAAAAATAGGAAATCGCGGATGGAAGTAACAGTTTTAGGGACAGAGTTGATGGACGTTGAAGAACAATTTCTGGAACAAAGTGAATTTAACAAAAAAATGTTTGAAAAAGAGTCGGCGGAAGTAACTTTTTTTGGGACTTAGTGGAGGGAGGTAGCAATGATCTGGAAGAGTGTGGCTGGAAGTAACAACTGTTTGACATGAAGGGAAAGGAAGTAACAATTATCTGGGAGAGAGTAACAATTGTTTAGTATAGAGTTATTGGAAGTAAGAATCATCTGGGAAAGGGTGGATAAAAATAACACTGGGGGGGGGGGCG